CGGGGGGCCGCAGGTGCCAGGCCCAGTCCGCGGAGGCCTCCCTCCCGGCGCCGTCGTCAGCACCTCCACGGCTGCGCTAGAGTGCACCTCTGGAGTCTCAACCGCGCGAACACGCTCTTCCCCTCTGTGCTCCTGTCTTGACACCACCGCCAACATGGCAGCTCGGTCCAGAAACTAAGCCTCGATTGATTTCTCTGTCTTGAGGGGCCGCAGGTGCCAGGCCCAGTCCGCGGAGGCCTCCCTCCCGGCGCCGTCGTCAGCACCTCCACGGCTGCGCTAGAGTGCACCTCTGGAGTCTCAACCGCGCGAACACGCTCTTCCCCTCTGTGCTCCTGTCTTGACACCACCGCCAACATGGCAGCTCGGTCCAGAAACTAAGCCTCGATTGATTTCTCTGTCTTGAACGCCTCCCTTCTCTCACACCTGCAGTGTTGGCTCTGAACAGGGCTTGACTTCTGTCTACACCACCTCTCGGTCCTCGGCAGCCGAGAATCCCAACCTGCCTCTCGATTTCTCTCCGAACACGGCACCTGGCAGCCTTCCCGCCCTCTTCCTAGGGAAGGGAAGATGAGCAGCTGTGCTGGCTGGGAAAGGCGTTGTTCTATCGGCTTTAACCGGGCCTTCCTAATGGAGTGTGAAGGGAAGTTTAAGGCTTCTGGAAAAGCCATTTCTGTATTATAAAAGGATATCGTAAATCGGTTTTGAAAGATGGCTCTTTCCTTCCTCTTTGAGATGGTGGTGTAAAGATGTGATGCCTTGAGCTACGGCAGCCCCTTGGACCGTGAGGCAACATACAAAAAGACAAAAATCTTATGTGGTGACTGTGGCAGGGAGACCGAAGGGCTGTTCCTGAAATTGATTTTTATTATGTGAGGTTAAAACTGTGTTGTGTAAACTGTAGACTTGCCCTCTAAGTGACCCACGGCAGGCGTCCTGCAGGGTTGCCTGGTACAGCAGTTAGAAGGGCTCCCAGGCTCGGTCTCCTCGGCCTGCCTGAACTTCTGCGCTGCAGCCTCAGTCTAATACCCCGGGGTAGGGAGGCCCCCACAGCCAGCTGTGCGCCCTGCCCGACACTCAGACACCACGAGGCGAGTCTCTGTGTCCTTGGAACACAAATGTCACCTCCATGAAGATGCAGCCAGTGGTGGCAGCTAAGGTGCTAGGCGGACGTACGCGCGTGGACTGAGCCGCACAGCAGCGGATCTCCGCCCTGATCCCGGAGCCTAGGTGGTGTCCGGTAGCGGCCCGGGCGAAGGGCGCGGCTAGGACTGTGCACATTCTGCCCAAGCCACTGCGCGAGTCCACGCTCCG